GAACTTGGGGATTCACTCATGCTAGGCATTAATTGTTGGGGTTCTAGTTGTTTTTTGACAGGCTTACTATATAGTCTAGGCTGTCCTTGAGTCTACTTTGCAGCTGAGTAGTCTTCTGCCTCCACCTCCCAAGATCTGGCATTAGAAGCTTATGACACTGTCTTGGTCACTGTTCTGTTGCTGTAAAGGGGCACCATAATCAAAATAACTTGTATAAAGGGAGCATTTAATTGGAGCTTGCATATAGTTTAAGAGAATTAGTCCAGTATTACCATGGTGGGGAGCATAGTGGCAGGCAGGAAGACATGATACCGAGGCAATAGCTGAGAGCTTTGTATCTTGATCCAATGGTTATGTGTGTGTAGAGGTGGCGCGTGGAAACAGAGAGACGGACATTCTGGGCCTAGAATAGGCTTTCGAAATTTCCTGCAACAAGGCCATAACTCCTCCAACAAGGTCACCCCTCCTAATCCTTCCCTGACAGCTCATCAGCTGGGGTTAAGCATGTAAATATATGAGCCTAGGGGCCAGTCTCGTTCAGCCACCATGGCCACCATGCCCAGTTCCTACACTTAATTATCTAAGAATAAGTTTAAAGATATGTGTGTGTTGGGGTGATCTTTTTATGCACTGTGTAAAGATTGTCTTTGTATTATTCAAATGCTGATCTCTGTGCCAGCAGAGAGTTGGGTGCATAGCTGGACTTTGATATTGTTATTCATATGGATACATATATCTTGTAAACATCCCCTCCAACACCTTTTGATTAGTTTTAATGAAGAGCTGAAAGAGCAATAACTGAGGGAGGAGAGGAAAGGCAGGACTTCCAGGGAGAGATAGAAACTCTGAAAAAGAAACGGCATGGGAGATTCACAAGCCAAACATGGAAGACAAAGCAAATGCCAGTATTCAGGAGGTAACTAGCCACATAGCAGAACATCGATTAGTATGAATGGGTTAATTTAAGTTATAAGAGCTAGTTGGGAACAAACCTAAGCAAAGGCCTTAAGCATTCATAATTAATAAAATGTCTCCAAGTCATTATTTGAGAGCTAGCAGACCAAAAAAGTCACATTATAATTTGTGCACATTGTAGGGCATAAATCCAAATTTACCTGAAAAGGGGGCCAGAAGGAAAGCAGGGAAATTTTTTTCCCTAGCAGCCACACATGCACTGAACTTGGTGGGAGAATAGGTCCCAGCACATAGAAGCCATGGTTTCTTCCAAACACAATGCTGTGTGTGAGCTAACAATGCCTGTAGTAGAACCAAATTATGCTTATCCCTGACTAGCTTACAAATAAATGAGAGTCAGACTGTAGTTATTTTATTTGACTTTGACAATTACTGGGGAATAACCTCTAATCTACTTTTCCCACTGCTGGCCTGGCTACCTCCCCAGCAGTGTGCCCCAGATACTTGCTGTTTTTCCTGGCCATGTGCTCATGATACCTCTCTTTTCATGGCATCTTCTCCTTCCTCTTCCTCCTACTCTCTCTTCTCCACTCAGCCAGGTACTAAAATGCCCACCTACCTCCAGTCCCTCTAGTAATTGGCTGTAGCCATTTTTATTTAACCAATAGTTTTAAATTAAGGAACAAGGTTTGCACAACAAAAGCTGGTCAATGGAGAATTCAGTCCTAGGTAAAGAATTTAGCATTATAATACATAGCCCAAACCCCAGCAATTCCTGGTTTTTTGTCTAAATAAAAAGACTCTTTCAGTTATAATAATAAACAACATACAGTAGGAAAAAACATGAACAATTGTGAAAGACATTAAGTAAGAGTTACATTAAAAAAGCCTAGTCTGTTAGTATTTGGCAACTCCTATCCTGGTGAGTTCAGAGTTCTGTATCTAAATCAATTTTTATCCTAACTGTAGCCACCTGCTGCCACGGATCAACTGGGTTCACCTGAAAGGGGGGCTGAGAATGAAAGGAGGACAGAGGGCGAGAAGAGATGAAGAAGACAAAATTCTCTGATCAAGGTTCAATGCTTTAATGTTCAGCTCTCAATTTAAAGGGAAAGGCCCCACCAAAACCCTTTCTGGTTTAAGCTGGAGATGGGTGGGATAATCCGTTCTTGATCACGGCAGAGATATCTCAAGGCAAGCCCAGGGGCAGTTCTTCTAAGTTCCATGCAGCCAAGGTGGGTAACTCCACCTAGATCCTATCACTTGGTCTGTTGTGGTAAACAAGGTCTCTCAGGCCTGCTCAGGGCTGGGGGAAGGTCATACCTAACTTGCATTATCCACCTGAAAACATCTTAAATCTAGAGCATCATCTTCAATCCTAAAGAATTTAAGCTTACAGTAAGGTAATAACTATCAAGTCTTCAACACCATCAGAGACCTGAGAAGGAATAAATATTACCTGGGTGTGCGGGAAGTGCAGGGATGTCACTTCCAAAAATTATAGAAATGACAGAGATAGCTGGTTTCTTGGACAGTCCCCAATATTCTCTATGACATTGGAGCATCTATCTTTAGCCTTCTGGCCCAGAATATCTGAAAGACCTTTTGTGAAGCAGGAATTTTGAAGGACTTGCTTACTCTGTCTTGGCAGAGCTTGACAGTCACCTTCCCTGTATCAGTTTATCCTTTCTGGAAAAGATTCTGTCTGCAGATAAAGTTAGGGCATTTTTTTTGCCCAGTGGCAAGCTCATCACAAATGAAGCCATCTTCAAATGGAGGTTCTTTGGTGTTTATTATCTTCCAAGTTGAATGGGGTATTGCCAGGAGCTGACATGTCTCAATGTCAAAAAGCCTTAAATTAATACAAACATCTTTAAATGCCATATTCTGGGAGTCTCTGAGCTTTTTGAAGGCCATCTATCTATTCATAGCATATCTGAACAAGAAAATTTTGCTTGTCTCCAGCTACATATTATGTATTTAACCCAGGATGTATATTTCTGTGATAATTCAGACTAGTACCTGACTGTTAGTATAAGTCTGAACCCAGTGACATCACATTCAGGGGCCAGGCGACTTCTGCACCGTTACTGAGGCAACCACTCCCAGAATTCACCTGTCTTGCTCACCTGCACCTGGGAAGTTACACGTCGTCACCCATTTAAATATTTGAGACCGCCCCAACCTCGCTCTCTTCCTCTTCTCATCACTTCTGCCATCTCTCCTGCTCCTCTCTCCCGCTCCCCTCCCTAAATAAACCCCTTCCCATGGAACCGGGTCGACCTCGTGTTGTCTGTCCAAACCGCGTCGGAATCTTACATTTGGTGCATCAGCGGGCTGAACCGACCTCCCCAGGCACTGCACAGCCTGCGTGGTTTGCCGGCTCTCAGCCCTGCCACTGCTGAGACAGAGGCCCACGTGGTCCGCCATTCCTGCCACTGACCCCTCCGTGTCCACGCTGTTCTCAATGCCACTTGCCAAACTTCCAGCACGTGAGCTGTGCTGCTGCGGCCCGCCTCTCCCCCACTCACCGCTCTGCTGAGTGGGTTAGATAGCCAGCCAGACACACAGGTCCCCAATTCCACCTTCCAGATACCAGACTGCACAAGTTCTCATACACACACTGGCATTTTAATCGGTAGGGAGCTTCTGGTTCGTGTGAGGGACCCTGAACTCCCGGTTAGCATCTGGCCACTGCTTCCTGGACTAAAGGGTTGGCTTTTTGCCCCAGTACATGTGACTGGCCTCTAGCCGAACTACGATTGTTATTCTACTAGGACCTTGGGCCGATTGAGTGATTTCCCCCCTTTCGGAAATAGCTTGTAGCCCCTCCCCAGCCCTTGCAGCTCTGCAGGAAAACCTGGTACCAGGCAGGCTATTTCCTGGCTGGCTAACTTCTGGTGGGTTGGCCCAGCCAAGGCCCTTATATGATTGCGTGACGACCTGATTATTATAAGCAGTGCCTGATTCCGTTGCCAACCTTTCTTTCGGGACGCCGAACTGATAGCTTGGTAATTAACTCTCACTCAGTGGGATCATCGGCTTCGTCCGTCCCAGCAGACACCCCACTGGGCTGTCTACTGAAAAACCTCAAATCTTTAAGATTAATGCCTGAGTTGAGGCCTTCCAAATTAATATGCCTTTGCAATAAAGTCTGGATCTGGTACCCTTTAGGCAATGGGCTAACATGGCCACTTAATGGCAGCCTAGACCCCGTCATTTTAAGGAGTCTTAATACATACTGCCAGCAGTCCGGTATCTGGAATGACATCCCTTACGTCCACGCATTCATCTACCTCTGTTATACCCCCTCCATGTGCTCTACCTCCCCTATACCTAAGGTTCTCTTAGCCATGACACCTGCCCAACCCCCAGACAACCACACACCTCTGGACCCAGCCAATGAACCTCCTCCCCTCCAACGCAGGCCTGTTTCCATGCCACCGAAAACCCAAACTGCTACCTCAGTTTCTTCTTCTCACCAGGGTGCCTCTGAGTCCACTGGCTCGACCTCCCCAGACCCCTCTCCTCCTCCTGTGACAGCTGCAGGCCATACTAACTGCTCTGCATTGGCACCAACCTTCACCCCTCCTATCACGCATTCCAAGGCCAAGGGTCCAACCCCTTCCCCTCCAGGGACACCGAAGCCAGCATCTGTTCTTCCCCTAAGGGAAGTGGCTGACATTGATGGCCTGGTCAGGGTACATGTCCCCTTGTCACTGAGTGAACTCTCTCAAATAGAGAGCAGACTGGGCTACTACACCTCTAACTCTTCTGCCTTCATTAAAGAATTTCAATATATTTCTCAGTCTTATAGCCTTATCTACCATGACGTACATATGATTCTAACTAATAACCTACTTCCAGATGAACGCAGGCAAGTTTGGGATGATATAAAAACGCATGCAGATTAGATTCATTAAACAGACGGGACTTATCCAATTGGATCAGAAGCTGTTCCTGGCCAGGATCCTCGATGGGATTATAATTCCGCAGGTAGTATCTTAGCCCGAGATAGATTTATATCATGTCTTTTGGCAGGCCTGAGGAAGGCAGCGTTAAAGCCGGTTCACTTTGAGAAATTCCAAGAGGTTGTCCAAGATAAACAAGAAAATCTGTCTCAATTCTTAGAATGCCTTACAAAGGCTTTACTGCAATATACTAATCTGGACCCTGAAAGCCTAGAAGGTAAGCAACTTCTCATGAACTACTTTTTTTCCCAGAGCTACCCCAACATAAAAGCTAAACTTAGGCGATTGGAGAGGGGGCCCCTAACTCCACAGGTGGAAGTCTTGGCACTGGCCTTCAAAGTGTACCATGAGAGAGATGAGAAAGCCCGTAAACAGAAATACCATATGCTGGCAAAGGCTGTCGACCAACCTCAGCCACTACCCCAGTCTTCCCACTACCCAGGAAGACTATTCCTGGTCTTCGAAGGCTCAGAGACCACCTGGCTCCTGCTATAAATGTGATCAACATGGTCATTGGGCGAAGGCCTGTCCTAACCCCAGCAAGCCTAGGGGACCATGTCCCAGATGCCATCAGAGGGGGCATTGGGGTACCAGCTGCCCTCATGTCGCTCAGAACAGAGGGATATCACTCCCAGAAAACCCCTCAGCTGACCTTCTAGGCTTGGCTATGGAGGACTGATGGGGCCCAAGCTCTCTCCACCCAACCACGCCTATCACTAGCAGGGAGCCATGGGTAGATATTATGGTGTGCGGAAGAACCATCTCCTTCCTCTTGGACACTGGGGCCACTTACTCAGTCCTGACGGAGTTTTGGGGACCCACCTCACCTTCGCATTCTCCTATTGTCAGGGTAGGAGAACAACCTTACCTTCCTCACCAGACCCCTCCACTTAGTTGCATTTTTAGGGGTGTGCCTCTCACCCATTCCTTTTTGGTAGTGCCTACATGTCCTGTCCCCTTATTAGGAAGAGATATCTTAGCTAAGTTGGGAGCTTCTATTTCCTTTGCTCCACCAATTTGCTTAAGCCCAAGCTCACCAGCAGTTCCTCTGCTCCTCCTTTTAGCCAATCACTCTACTAACACTAACATGTTATTTCCCTTACCAGCCTCTTAGGTGGACCTCCAAGCTTGGGATGTCCAGAACCCCTCTGTTGCTAAACATCATTCTCCCGTTGTCATCCAGTTACTGGACTCTACCAGGTACATCTGCCAAGCCCAATATCCTCTTTCTCTCCAGAGCCTCAGGGGACTTAAGCCTATCATTGCTGACCTCTTAAGGAAAAAAACTCCTTCAACCTACCCCTTCCCCTTTTAACACCCCTATACTGGCAGTTAAGAAACCTAATGATACCTATCGACTAGTTCAAGATCTCAGGCACATTAACTCTGCCGTAGTTCCCCTCCATCCTGTCATAGATAACCCATATACGCTTCTCTCTACTATCCCCTCAGGGACTTCTCATTTTTCAGTCCTAGATCTCAAGGATGCATTTTTCTCTATCCCTCTAGACACCCAGTCACAGGACATATTTGCCTTTACCTGGACAGATCCTGACACCCACTTTTCTACCCAACTTACCTGGACTGTTCTACCCCAGGGATTCCGGGTCAGCCCACATCTGTTTGGACAGGCCCTGACTTCTGACTTAATCTCTTTATCTCTCCCTAGATCTAAGATTGTACTTTATGTAGATGATGTTCTTCTCTGTAGTCCCTCCCTAGAAATTAGCCAAGTTGACACAGCTGCTCTTCTAAATTTCCTTTCCAGTCGGGGCTACAGGGTCTCACCTTCTAAAGTCCAACTGTCCACTCCTCAAGTCGCCTATTTGGGACTAGAAATTACCCCAACCCACAAGGCTATTACCTTAGATAGAAAGAACCTGATTCAGTCTCTAACTGTTCCTTCTACAAAGGAAGAGATTCTATCATTCCTAGGAATGGCTAGCTTTTTGCATTCCTGGGTTCCTTCCTTTTCCCTACTTTTTCGTCCCTTATATGAAGCAGCATTAGGCCCCACCCACGAACCTCTTCTCAAACCTGTCACTAAGCCCTTCCAAAGGCTCCAACAGGCTCTCCTTAAGGCCTCAGCCTTACATCTCCCAGACCTGACTCGTCCTTTTTCCCTCTACATAGCTGAAAAAGAGGGATTTGCCCTTGAAGCCTTAGGTCACCAACTGGGACCATTTTTTTCACCTGTAGCATACTTGTCAAAAAGACTAGATCCAACCATTCAGGGATGGGCACCTTGTATTCATACCTTAGCAGCTGCTGAACTCATTATTTGAGATTCAAAGAAACTAACCCTGGGATCACCTATAACTATCCTCTTTTCTCACAACCTGTCACAGCTCCTAACTTATAAAGGCTTACAGACTCTATCTCCCTGCAGGGTTCTTTCTCTTCAGGTAGCCCTAATAGAAGACTCCACTCTCACCTTTCAGTCATGCCCACCTCTTAGATTTCCAATCTTCTTCCCCGACCTAACACTGACTACTCTCTATCTCACTCCTGTACTGGAACCTTAGAAGAGCTATTACCTCATCCTTCACACATACAGGAGGGCACATTGCCTCAAGCCACCTTTACCTGGTATACAGATGGAAGCTCCTTTCTTCATGAAGGGGTCAGGAAAGCTGGCTATGCCATAGTGTCAGACACCAAGGTGGTGGAGACACAGGGCCTTCCTGCTCATACCACCAACCAACAGGCTGAATTAATAGCCCTTACCCGTGCCTTCCAACTGGCACAGGGACAATCCCTCAGCATTTACACAGATTCTAAATATGCTTTCCATATCCTCCTGTCCCATGCTGGTATCTGGAAGGAGCGCGGGTTACTTACTACAAAAGGAGGATCAGTAACTAATGCAAACCAGATTATGGCCATGCTAAAGGCCTCCCATCTTCCCACAGCTATTGGGATTGTCCACTGCAGATCCCACCGTATGGATGACTCTATAGTCTCCAAGGGAAACAACCAAGCTGATGAGGCAGCTAGAGCTGCAGCCCTTAGGGGCCTAGACTCATCTCACTCTCCCAAGGAGATTCTTACACTACAACCCACATCCCCACTTACAACCCCTGACACTCGTCAAACTCTGTCCTATCTTCACCAACTCTTTCATCCTAACAGCCAAGTGCTGTCTTATTTCGTTAAGACCCACCTACAGCCTACTCCTGAGGACTTAAGTTTCCTAAAATCTATCACTGCTTCTTGCAAAATCTGTCAGATGTCAGATCCCAACTCAAGGTATCATAGCACCCCTTTTCCTACCCATCAGGCTAGAGGTTCCCTTCCTAGAACTGACTGGCAACTTGACTTTACCCACATGCCTGCTGTAAAACAGGTCAAGTACCTCCTGGTCTTGGTGGACACCTTCTCAGGCTGGGTAGAGGCTTTTCCCACAACTAACAAAAGGGCTCAGACAGTCTCTGCTCTCC